GGCGGCGGGTCTGGTGAGGCGGGGTTTTCTGGCCATCCTCGCAGGCTTTTGCGCGGAAGGGCTGCGACTGCTGCTTACGAAGGAGGATGAGGCCCCCAAAGGCGGAGGAGGCCTTATTTACTCCGAAAGCGAGGAGGACCTGTGCGAGGCTTGCGTGGGCGAGCGTCTCGGCTGTGCCTCCGGGTCCGGCCGCCTGGGCACCCTTGGCCTGGTGTCCCCGTGTTGGGAAAGGGCCTGCGAGCGGCCCTGCCCGTATCATGCAGGTTGATCTGCCCTGGCCGCTCGGGCGCTCGGGTGGGCGATCAATCCAGGCGGGGCCCCGTTGGCGCCGCTGTGCCCCAAGCGTGCGGCTTGCCGCGAGGAGCTCAGGGGGCGCTCAGCTCTCAGGCCGACTGATCCAGAGAGGGGGGCGGGGCCGCCGCGCCTCCGCTCTGACAGTGGCCCCCCCCCCGGGCCCCCCCCCCCCTGGGCCGGGGGCAGTTGAGGGCGGTCGTGGCTTCGAGCTCCGCGCCCCAGGGCTGGCTCCTCCGACCCCGAGGTGGGCCCCGGGGGCAGGCGCGCCTGCCTGCCCCGGGGCGAACCTCGTCGGCGGGCCAGAAGATCGGGCAGGGGCCTCGCCGCGCGGGCGGCCTGAAATAGGCGGCTGTCTCGGGCCCCCTAGCCGCGGATTTCATGTGCCAGTTGGTGCAGAGGGCCCGCTTGTAGGAAGACGACCGGAAAGCCTGGGGGGGAACCTTTGCACCGGGCGCGGACGGGGCCCCGCCTGCTGGTCTTCGTGGCCCGAGGATGCGATAACTTCAATGTCGCCCTTTGCCAGGGGTGCGTGGGCCGCGATGTCTATGGTGGCTCTTCGGCGCGCTGGGGCGTCCGTCAGGCCCCTGGCCGCGAGGCGCGGATAGCCGCGGTCCCGATTTGCAGTCGGGCTGGTTCACGGGGAGGGGCGCGCCCCAGGGCGGTGCCGTGCGCGTGAGATCTTGGAGGACCTAGCGAAGCAGGCCAACAAAAACATGCGCCCCCAGGAGATATCAACTCCATCTGCGAGAAGCTCAACTGGGATTGGCGGGGCGCTCTCGAGGCCCCCCCGCGTCAACTCCTCCTGGACGTGCGAGCCCGCGGCGCCGCGCCGGAGGAGCTCGATCGAGACGTGCGCCGCGGCCCCCGGCCTGGGCGCGCGAGCGCCTGCGCTGCCCCGTCGCCTTCCAGCCAGATGCCGAGGACTGCGAGGGAGGGGGCGCCATCGCTGCGGCTTGGGCCGTGGCCGGGAAGGGGGCCAAGGGTGCTCGGGCGGGGTGGCGGGGCGTCGAAGACGGCGAGGGCTTGGGAAGAGCGGGGAAGGTCGCCCCGCGCCCCCTGGGCTGGGGGCCTGCCGAGCGGAGGGGGGGCGCGCCCGCGCCGTCGTTTCCGCCGACTCGGTGTCGGGCAAGACTTAGCCCGCGCTTCAGTCTGCATTGCGATTGCGCCGACAATGCCGGCGAGTGCCAGGGCGCGCGCGAGGAAAACCGATCGCCCGTGTGGGTGCGCTCCCGTGGGGGGGCCGCGCCTTGATCCCCCGTCGCGGTTGCGGGGGCCTCGAGGCCTTCGAGCGCGTGGCGGAGGGCCAGGCCAGGGGCGAGAAGGTCGAGCAGATGCGCGAAGGGGCGCGCCGGGATTGGGGGTGGGGCGGGCCGGGGGGGGGCGCGCGCCAGAGGGCGAAGCCTGCGCTGCCACTTCAGGCGGCCTCCGACAGGGAACCGCGGGGGAATCGGGCCGTCGCTGGCCGCTGCTGGACCCTGGGCATGTCATCCCATTGAGCAGGGCTGAAGGTCTGCTCGCGCGGCGCGCTCTGGGCCTAGGCGCGCAGGTTTCACGAGGCGCAGCCATGCGTGATCCTGAGCGTCGCCACTGCGCTGGCGGGGGCGGGGCCCCGCTGGCCCCGCGCCCCCGAGGCGGCGCAGGCGCTGGCAGGTGCGCAGCGCCGCTGGATCTTGCCTGGTGTCCAGGCTGCCCAGCAGGTGCTCAGCCCGATGCGGCGGTGTTGGCCCAGGGGCGAGGCCACCCCGTGCGCGCGCAGCCAGCTGCGGGATTCCCGCCCCCCGCTCGCCTCCTCGCGAGCGGCGAGTGGGCGCGCGCGCCGTCGAGGCGCTGGGTTCTTTTGGGCGGCAGTCGCGCGCGCGCCCAGTGCCCGCCTGGCCCCGGGCTGGCAGGACTGGTTCCCCCAGGTGGCCCAGGTCCATGATTGCCTCGCAAAGCGTTTGTCGCCTTTTGAGCAAGTCCCGCGCGGCGACCAAATTGAGGATTTCCCGGGCCCCAGGCGACTGGGGGGGGCGCCGCTCAGCGTGGTGCGCGACTTTGCCTGCCCCCATAAAGTCTGAATTAACGAGCCGCCAGCCGGGAAGGCATGCGCGTTATAACATTGTGCCACTGCCACCGGGAAAGGGAGGGGGTTCGCTCTCCTCGGCGAGGGTGGCAGCGGGGGGGGCCCCAAGTGGAGGGCGAAGCGGGTCAAATTTGTCACCGGCTGGGCCATGGCTTGAGAATCGCTGGCGCGCGCGACGCGTGTCGCGAGCGGGCGCGTGGATACCTCGGGCAGGTCCCTGGCCTGGAGAGGCGAAGCAGGGTGGCCAGGTGGGCGTTCCCATCCCCTTTCGTAGACATCGCGTAAGCCACCGCACCAAGGTCGCCACGCCATCTCGCGTGAGACCCGTTTTTGAACGCCGCTCATATGCACGACGCCTGCAAAACACAGGTCCCGGAGGGAACACGCCAAGGACGTGAGTATGATTGCTGTTTAAGCGTATGATATATGTAAAATTTCGGTTTTAGGCGGAATCTGTTTTTCTTGAGGCAAGGTCGTGAGCGGCAGCCGGACATGGAAACGTGCAGCAAACGGCGCGGAAAGAGCGCGAGCCGAGGGAATCACGCCGCTCGGCGCTCGGCGCACCTTGGTAACGTCGGACCCTCTCGCGCCCGCCCTGGTCAGGCGCCGCCGGCCGCCTGTCGCTTACCGAGTCCTCGTTGTCCTCTGTCCCTCCTCCTCCTCCTCCTCCTCCTCCTCCTCTTCCTCCTCCTCCTCCTCCTCCTCCTCCCTCGAGTTGTGAACAACATCAAGACGGGAGTTTTTTTTGCTATTGTCGGCCTCGGAGGGAGGCCTTACTGGGCCTCGGGACCGTCAACAAAAACACTCAGGATGAAAGACCAGTCCCGGGGAAGGGGTCCAGACTTCTGGGGATCGACGTTGTGACAAAATCACGACGTCGGGGGTCTCGGTCTCTCCTTTTTTTTTTTTTCCTCCTGTCTCTCTCTCTCCGCGCCCCCTAAGGTCCCCAACGTGTTCCCCCACGGCCGGTTTTTCGCTCCAAGGGCCGAGCCTGGCGAAAAAAATCCGGCATGGTTTCGCTCCAGACGTCGGGTGTCTGGGTGTGCCGGGTTCCCGCCAGATGCGACGCGCCAGCCACAGGACCAAGGAGTCCACGTGGGTGCGTCCTGCGGCACTCGGTGGTCCTCACGAGTACAAGGCCTGGCGGCCCCCCATGCTTTAAGGAGGATGGGAGGAGGAGGGGGGAGGGAAGAACATCGCCCAAAGGCGATGCACAACAAGGCGGGGCGCGCGTATTCGTCTTTGGAGGACTTTCCAGGGCATCGCCTCGTCCTGATGCTTATCAGCGTGGCGAGCTTCTTTGCACTGTGTCCGAGGGGGAGTGGAGGGTGAGGGGGAGGGGGAGGATGGGCTGAGGACACAGGAGGAGGGACGCAGGGAGGGATGGCAGTTGTAGGATGTGTTAGTGGTTCCGTAACTTTTGTTCGTTTTGTTTTAGAAAGGTGATTCAGATGTTTTCGGGGTCTGCCAGGGAGTTCGGGAGATTCTAGAGGGGCGGGGGGTCGGGGAGTTGGGGGAGGGGGGGGGGAAGGAGGACGAGGGAGGGGAGGTGGGAGAGGGGGAAAAGGAGGAGGAGGAGGCTCGGTTCGGTCCTCCACGAGAGTGCAGGTCACTCCCCTGCATCAGCCAGGCGAGTGCCATGCCCCCCTTGGAGCAGCAGTCGAGAATGGGGAGGGGGAGGAGGACGGGGAGAGTGATGCAATAGGTCTTCGGCCCGTGGGGAACCGGGAAACGTTGGCCGCGGAAATCCAGTCCGGTGGGGTTTAGCCGACCGTTCGCCTGGGGTCAGCATGAAGAGGTCATGGAGGGGGGGAGAGTGTGGGAAAGGATTGGGATGAGGAGGGGGCTAGGAACCAGGAGCAGAAGGATGCGGCAGGATGTGCAAGCGGAGGCATGATGATGGTGATGATCGTGATGAGGGTGGTACTTATGATTAATGATGTTGCTGGTGGTGATGATGACCATGATGATAGTGCTGCTGCTGCTGACGACGACGATGATGATGTTGCTGCTGCTGCTGATGATGATGGTGGTGGTGGTGATGATGGTGGTGGTGATGGTGATGATGGTGATGATGATTACGATGATGATGATGATGATGATGATGATGATGATGATGATGATGATGATGATGATGATGATGATGATGATGATGATGATGATGATGATGATGATGATGATGATGATATGATGATGATGATGATGATGATGATGATGATGATGCTGATGATGATGATGATGATGATGATGATGATGCTGATGCTGATGCTGATGATGATGATGATGATGATGATGATGATGATGATGATGATGATGATGATGATGATGATGATGATGATGGTGATGGTGATGGTGATGGTGATGGTGATGGCGGCGGCGATGGCAGGAACAACCAGGGGAAGAAGCGTGTGGGAATGTGTGAATTCCGCGACACATCCAGGCGAAGTGCCCAATCCGGGTGGTCCCATCTTCGCGAGAAAAAAACCAACAGCATCACTGCTTTTCGTTTCAATTGTGGACATTCTGCGATCCATGCTGCAAGATGCGGGGCAGGAGTGGAGCGGGGCGCACGTCCCGTGCGAGTGGCCGACATGCTGCTCTCGCGTCGATCCCGTGCCCATTTCTCTGAAGAATTGGGCTCCCGCTGGGGCGCGGCGGGCATGTTCGCGCGCTTGTCGCGCGCGTTGTCGTTGATGCGCGAGCGGGCGAAAATGCAGTTTTCGCTTTGGCGCCGCGAAGATTTCGCCTGCAAGTGGCGTTCCTGCTTCGACGCGGCGCGTTTTTTGTCACTCGCCAGACTTTGGGGGCCCGCGCGAGTGGGCGACTTGCTGCCGTCGCCCAAGTTCTGTGCGCATTTGTGTCGGAAGTGGCGTTTCAGCGCGGGGGCGGCGTGCGGTCCGCTCGCAGAAGCGCATGGCAACGACGGCGGCAGCGGGGCCCGGCGAGAGCGGGCGGAGTGCCAACCTTGCCCAATCGCCGCGCAGCGTGTGAGGAAACATGGTTCCTGGTCTTCCTCTACCTCGCGGACGTTGACTTGCTCACGGCCCTCCTCACGCGGCACTCGAGGATGGTGTTCTTGGCGCGCCGATGACGGCAACACCAATCCACTCTCCCTCTGGGACCTCGCCCCCTGCTCCAGTCCATGGCGTACCTTGTCCTGTGCAAGATCTTAGGTACCGCCTGTTCTCTGAGCCCTCCGGCCGCCTGAGGCCCTGTCCGCCCGCGCCCTGTCTCCCCAATTAGGGCTATTCGCGCCCCGTTTAGCTCTTGACAGGAAGGGGCCCGCTCCCGACCCGCAGACCAGAAAAGCGTGTGAGGAAAGGTGGCAGTGCCTTGCCAGCGCTGCGCGAGCTTCGTCTTCGCCGCGCCCGTTGGGAGTTCTGCTGGCCCCGCCCGTGCGCGGCCCGCGCAGTTGCCTCTTCGCCAGGTCGTCGGAAGCGGGGCCGCCCGCGAACGCCCTCGCTTTGCGAGGTGGGGGGGCGTTTCAATCCCAATGCCATCATGTGCCACAATTGATTTTTGTGTTGCGGGACGGGGTGTGTGCAATGGTTGGGCCACCTGGCTCGCTCGGCCTGGCTCACTTGAGTCGTGCTCTTGCTATTATTCCCTTTCTTACTCTTTACTGTTCCTTTTGTCCTTGCGTTTACTCGTGTCTTCTTTTTTTTTTGGGGTGGGGGGTGGGGGGGGTGGGGGTGGGGGCGTTCTTGCTTCTATTCCTACTCCTGCTCGTATCTTTGTCATAATCTCACTATTGCTCTCGCTTCTGCTTCTGCTCGCGGTGCGATTCTTTGCTGGCGTGTATCCCCATTTTGCCGCCTAGCTGGCCGATGGTCTCTACAACCGGGTGGTCCGCGTTTACGAATATCGTTCCAATCTGGACATTCCGATGCCCATGTTGCAAGGTGCGGGGCAGAAGTGGAGCGGGGCGCACGTCCCGTGCCAAAGGGCGAACATTTGCTCTCACCGCGGCCCGTGCTCATGTCTCTGACGCATTGAGCTCTTGGTGGGGGGCGATGCAAACTTCTGCGCGCGACTCTGTCGACGCGCAAGCGGGCGAGAAACGTAGCATTCGCGTTGGCGCCGTTCAGGTTTTGCTTGAACGTGGCGCTCCCGCCTCGACGCGCCGCATATTCATCGCTCGCCAAATTTTTGGGGCCCGCGCGGGTGGGCGACGTGTCGCCGTCGCCCAAGCTCCGTGTGCATTTGGTTCAGAAGTGGCGTCCAGCGCGGGCGCGGCGCATGGGTCGTTCGCGGAATCTGCGCGCAGGGGGCAGCGGCGGCGGGGCCGCGCGAGAGCGGGCGACGTGCCGCCTTCACCCAGGCTGCCGCGCAGTCTGGTAGCGAGAGTGGCAGCTCCCTGCCGGCGCGTCGCGGGCTTCGTCTTCGCCGCGACCGTCCGATCTTTTGCGCTGCTTCCGCCCCGTGGCGGCCCGCGCAGCTGCCTTTTTCGTCAAGTCGTTGGGAGCGGGCCGCACGCGAGCGCTCTCTGCCTTGCGAGGTGTTGGCGCGTCCCAGTCCCAATGTCAAGTTGCGCCGCAAGTGATCCTTGTGTTGCGGGACGGGATGGGGAGTAGGCGGGGCCTTATCAGTCTCGCTCTCAGTCTTTCTCGCACTCTTTTCGTCAGTTCCACCTCGGAATCTGCTCCCACTCTGCCGCCTCGCCGGTCAGGTGGTCCCATCCTGTCCGTCGAAAGACAACGCGGAATCGCTGTTTTCGTCTCAGCACAGACATTACGTCGCTCATGTTGCAAAATGCCTGGCAGGAATGGGACGGGCCGCGCATCCCGCGCGAAGGGCCGAGATGTCTTTCTCGCCTCCGCGCTTCGAGCATTCTCATAGAGAGTTCAATTCTGGCTCGGGCGCGACGCACATTCTCCACACGCGTTTCCGTTGAGTCGCGAGCGGGCGGACGTGCGCTCTCGCCCCGGTGCCGCGCAAATTTAGCACTACAGTGGCTTTGGGACCGGGGGGGTGGGGGTGGCGCGAGTGGGCGATTTGCCGCCCTCGCCCCGGCTCCGGGCGCATCTGGTTGGGAAGAGGCTTTTTGCAGCGCGGGGGCGGCGCGCGAGTCGTTCGCCGAAGCGTACGGCAACGACAGCGGCAGCGGGGCCGCGCGAGGCTGGGGCGAAATGCCGACCTCGGCCAAACGTCGCGCAGATTGTAAGTGAAAGTAGCAGTGCGTGTCAGCGCGGCGCATGCTTCTTCGCCTTCGCCGCGCCCATCGGAACTCTTGCCGCTTCCGCCCCTGCGCGGCCCGCGTAGTTGCCTCTTCGCCAAGATATTGGAAGCGGGCCGCGCGCTCGCCTTCCGCGTGCGGGCTGGGGGCGCATTCCAATCCAAGGATTATCAAGCTGTGCCGCAATTTGTTTTTACGCTGTGTGGGGGAGTGGGTTTGAGTAGGCGGGGCCTTCTGACTCGCTCGACCTGGCTAAGTTGATCTTTACCCCTACTCTTGATTCGTTTCTATTCCCGCTTTGCCACCTCGCTTGCCGATGGCCGCCCAATTTGGGCGGCCCCATCCTAGTTTCCAACAACTATACACATACATTATCATGGGTCATTCGTCTCCACATGGACATGTTGTCGTCCATGTTGCGAAGTGCTGGGCAGGAGTTGGACGGGGCGCGCATCCCATGCGCAAAGGTTGAACTGTCGCTCTCACCTCGGCGTCGCGCGATTTACTCCCAGCGCGGCGCGCAGTTTTCGCACGCGTCTTCGTTGACGCGCGAGCGGGCGACAATGTAGCTCTCGCCTCGACGCAGCGCAGATTTCGTTGAAAGTTGCCTTCCCACCTCGACGCGCGGCGCATCTTTGTCACTCGCCAATGATCGGGGGCCCGCGCGAATGGGCGCCTTGTCGCCCTCGCCCAGACTCTGTGCGCATTTGGTTCGGAAGTGGCGTTCCACCGCAGGCGAGGCGCATGGCTCGTTCGCTGAATCGCGCGCTGGCGGCAGCGGCGGTGGGGCTGCGTTTGAGTGGTCGACGTGCCGTTCTCGCCCAAGCGCCGCGCAGAATGTGAGTGCAAGTGGCAACGTTGTGTCAGCGCGGCGCATGCTTCGTCTTCGCCGCGCCCGTCAGAGCTTTTTACCGCTCCCGCTCCATTGCGGCCCGCGTGGTCTTCTCTTCGCCATGTCGTCGCAGGCAAGGCCGCGCGCGAACGCCTTCCGTTTGCGAGGTGGGGGCGCGCTCCAATTCCATGATCGAGTGGCGCCACATTTGGCTCTCAGTTTTTGGGAGGGGGAATGGGAGTGGGCAGGGTCTTCTGACCCAGTCTAGCTTGACTCTGACTCAAAGTCCCCCCCGCTCCCCGTATCAGTACATACTCCCGCTCTGCCGCCTAGCCGACCTACATCCGCCCAATCGGGGTGGTCCCAGCCCGCCTGTCACAAAACGGGGCGACATCTACAGTTTTCGTCTCAAGATGGTTATTCTGTCTTCCATGTTGCAAAATGCGCGGCAGGAGTTGGGCGGTGCGCACATCCTGCGCCCAACTCCGAGCTGCGGCCGTGGGGGGAGTTCCCTATGGGAAACGGGCCGTGCGAGAGGTGTGGCTATAAGTGAGCGGGGCGAAGCTGTGCGAGACCTCCCTCTGGTACCGTTGGTGCAGCTACCTGCGGGGCACGATCCGCGTGAGGGGTGTGCCGCTGGGGCACGATCCGCGTGAGGGGTGTGCCGCTGTTCGAAAATTGGAGGAGCAGGAGGGGGAGGAGGAGGAGGAGGAGGAGGAGGAGGAGGAGGAGGAGGAGGAGGAGGAGGAGGAGGGAGGAGGAGGGGAGGAGTAGGAGGCGGAGGTGGAGGAGGAGGTGGAGGAGGAGGAGGTGGAGGAGGAGGAGGAGGAGGATCTCTGGGGCAGCAGGTGGGACTCCCCGTGGGGCACGATCCCTGTGAGGGGGGGTGCCGAGATTGGCGGGGGGACGCTGTGCGAGTCCTGCCTCTGGGGCTCCAGGGCCGGGGCTCCCTGAGGGGCACGATTTGTGTGAAGGATGTGCCGAGCTCGGCGGAGGGATGCCACTGAGATCTGTATGCCCACGGCAAGAAACACCTTGCTTGCCTCCAGGGTGCCCTGGGTTTGCCATGGAAAGCGTGACGTTCCCATACAAAAAATCAATGGACGTGCTAGGGTCTCAGGGTTGGGTTTCTTGTGGAAGGTTTCTTATGGTCGAGCTCCTGATGTATGCCCACGTGGTGATCGTGGTGTTGCGGTGTGCGTGCCTATCCGCTGATACGACGCTGGCCTTGCCTGGGCTAAAGCCAAGGCGCGCGCCAGTCGCGCGCGTGGCTCTAGCGTGCGTGTGTCCTTGCACGCCCCGCTCTGAGCGGGCCCGGTCTCTCCTCCCGCCCGCGCTGGGCTTCCTCCCCTTCTCTTACATTGCGGCTTACTTCGCATCTGTATGTCCTACACATGCTCTTTCCGCCAGCCCAGTCACTCTGCCTTGCCGCCGACGCAAAAAGGGCCCTTGCACGCCCCTCGCCGCTCCCCTCCCTCCCGGCCCGAGGTCGGCGAGGAGGTGGAGGTGTGGAGCAACTCGCAGCGCGTGTGGGGCCCTGGGAAGGTCGAGAGCGTGGAAGGCGGGCCGCCCGTGGCGTCAGCGGGCGGGTGGCCGAGGGTGGCGCCGGCGCAGCGGCGCGGCGCGAGCTCCTGCAGAGATCGGGGGCGGTGGGGGTGGTGATGATCGGAGAAGAGAAAACGCCACAAGCATAAACTTTTGGCGCTCCGCGCGGATTTTTGGATCCGCGCTGCGCCCCCCCCCCCAGCGGCGCCTCCGGCGCCGCCACTGGCGCGCTCCGCCCTGGCGCGCTCCGCGCGCCAGGGAGGGGGGTCCAGCGCAGATCCAAGAAACCCGCGCGGAGCGCCGAAAGTTTCTGCTTATGGCGTTCTTCTTTTTCTAGATTAGCTTGACATCGCTCGGACGTGTGGTTTTTTCTCGGCCACGACCATTGAGGAGCATCCTGGATCATTTGGCAACATAAGCACGCGCGAAACCGAAGCATGCACAGGGAATGGACGTCCGAGCGATGGCAGGTTAGGGGGGGAGGATTGGCATGGCAGGGGCCATGATACCCCCCCCGGTTTCGTGGCCCCCTCTTCTTCTTTCAACGCGGTCCCTAGCTCCTCGCTCGTCCTCGCACGTGCCTCGGGCCATGATTTGCGAACCTCCCTCGTGGCCGCTGCCCCCACGGGACGCCCCCAGAGAGAAGGAGCCGAGAGCGGCTGGAGTTTCTCGTCGCAGGCGACTTCTCGCCCCGCATCATACAGTCCTTCCCCCAAGCTGGCCGCGCAGAACAGAGGGGGGAACTCGGGTCCCATGGCGGCTATTCGGACGCACCCTTCTAGGATGAACGCCCCCTCGTATCTCTCCGAGTCGGGCCCCAAATTTTTGGTCCAGTCGAAAACCCCACAACATCGGGGAATGGGGTCGCCATACCTTCCGTCGTATCGGATGTCCTCGGACGGACCTTCTTCCAGGGCTTTCGGGCGATTTCGGAAGCGCTCCTGCTGACTGTTTCGGACGCGCGCGGGGCGTTCGGAGCGCGGAAGACTCGTCGGCTCCTGGAGATGCTGCGACGGGATGCGTTCCAGCAGCTCCGCTTCGCCGAGAGCGATCCGAGGGGGTGTCCGGCTCGCCCCGCGTGGGCGCCGCAGGCCCGCGAGCCGGAGCCCAGGGAGAGGGAGCCGGGGCACGCCGCAGGCCGCTGGCTGCCGCCTCGCGCGCAGGGATCGGCAGACCGCGCAGCAGAGGCCGCTCTTGCCCAGGGTCCAGCCGCGGGAGGCGAGGGGAGGGGAGGAGGAGGAGGAGGGGAGGAGGAGGGGAGGGCCGAGGGATACGTTCTCTCCCCCCCCCCAAGCGGTCCTGCTTCGTGTTTGCTTTCGGCGCTCCCAGTGTGCGTGCTTCCTCTTGCCGTCTTCGTCGCCGCGGTTGCCGTCGTCCTCCCCCCCCGTCGTCGCAGGAGCCCATTCCGCTCCGATCACTACGATTCGGTATCGATTCCTGCTGGCCCGATCCGATCCGATTCCGCGTTCTCGACGATCCGATGCGGCCTCCCGATGCTGCGCTCATGGAGCTGCTGCGCATCCCAGCGCGGCCGATCCGATTCGATGTCGACTCCGTGCCGAGGCGGCCCGGTCCGGCGCGCGCTCCGAGCCGAGCCACTCTTCCGATTCGAGGCCGGCTGGTCCTTCCCCCCCTTACGCTCCCCTTTCCTCTCTCGTCCCCCTCCTTGCGCCCCTCTGGATCCCTCCGAGGCCGCCGCCTCACCCGACTGGCCTTAGTCAGGCCCCGATGTCTGTCCGTAGAGGGGCTCGTTCGCTCTGTTCGTTCCTTCTTGCGGCGGCGAGGGAGGGGGAAGGCGAGAAGGAAAAGGCCTTCTCAGAAGACTCGGAAGCCCCTCGGCCTTCGAGAAGCTCTCTGAGCCTTGCCCGAAGGCAGACAAAGACTTCTCGGAATGCCCGAGGGCTTCCGAGAAGTCCCGCCGCCCTCTGAGAAGGTCGTCTTCTCCTCGCTTCCTCCCCTCGCTCGCCGCCGATTCTTGCACCCCTTCCCCTCCCACCTGGGCCAATGCGCCCAGCCCGCCGAGCTTGCGGGGCCTTGGACAGGCCGCTCGCGTCGCCGCGCCGGGCCCGCGCAGCTGCGTGCCCGCTCCGCGCGCTGGACCGGACAGGCGGAGGCCCAGACACCCGGCGGCTCGAGAAGACGGATCGGGCGATCGCAAGCATGGATCAGGGTTTGGCGTGGATTAGCGACGGGTCCTGTTTCCAGGGGAAATCGCGGATTTCCGCCGCCGAGCGAGGCGGCACCGGCCGCACTGTGGGGAGGGCACCTCCACCCGATCCGTGGACTAGGCGACCGCGCGCCAAATCCATGGATCGCTAATCCATGGTTGCGCGCCCCCGAACGGAGGCGGCGGGCTCTTCGCCACGTTGTGGTCGGACGATGCTAGGACGATGAGAAATCCGTTCCAGAGCGGTCCGGAACGCTCTCCGAGCGTTCCAGGATCGCTGTGGGAAGGCCGCGACGCCCGAGACATCGTCCAGAGCCGCCGTATCTCAGAGATTCTCGATTTTCACTCGCCCTATTTTTCCTCGTCCTGGCCTCGTCTTATGTACCGGAACTGGGGATATCCCCTGCTGGGCGAGGCTCGACTTTTGGAGTTTCGCGCGGCGTGCGTCCGGCGTCGGCCACGCGCAGAGGGGTGCTTCTGAGAAGCATCCCTGCTTCTCAGAAGGCGCGGGCCTTGTCTGCAGATGTGAGGCCCGCACTTTCTGAGAAGTAGCCTCCTTCTAAGAAGCCTTCCCCCCTCCCCCTACCCCCCTCTGCGTGCCGCCAGCCTTGGGCGCTCGTGGGGCCGTCTTGAGCCCCTCTTGAGCCTGGGCTCTCTCGGGCCATCTTGGAGCCGTCTTGAGGTCCCAGAAGCCCATGGGGAGCGGAAAGGCGACGAGCAACACTTACCTCCATTCGATTCTGGGCCGACGGGCTCCTCTGCGGCCGTCGCACTTCAGCCGAGTGTGGCCCCCTGCGGCCGTCGCCGTGCCGAGCCCTGCCGCGGCAGCCGCGGCTCTCCGCCGCGGGCCCCCCCCCCAGAGAGCCGAGAGCCGGGGCCGCGGGGGCCGGGCTCGGGGCCCAGGCGCTGCAGCGGCAGGCTCGGGCGGGAGAGCTCGGGGGCGGCCAGGGGAGGGGTGACGACCAGGGGGATGGGTGGCCGTAGCGCCCTGCCTCGCGGTGGCCGTGGCGCTGGCCCCTTCTTCCTGCAGAGAGCCTGCCGCCGGCGGCCCTGTCGCCCTGCCCCGCCGCCGCTCTTCGAGGATGGCGGCGGCGACGACGGCGGCGGCAGCATCGCCCCAGATCGGTGGTTCAAAGATATCGGGGTCGGCCAAGAGGGGGGTGGTGGATATTATGGCTGGGGGCAGGATATCTCCCCAGACTTCATGGCGCCTCGTCTCATTTCAATACGTCCCCGCCCCCCCCCCCCCCTTGGGCCGCGCACGTGCCGCCGGCCATGGTTTGCGCCCTTCCCCCCCCCCCTCTTGGACGCCCCCCTCTTGGACGCTCCCGAACAACGGGGTCCACTGCCGCGTGAGGTCGTCAGAGCTGTCGGCGCAGCACAGGGCTGGGCGAGCTTTCCCAGTGGGGGGGGCCTTGGGCCGAGCGCTTCGCAAGAAGGTTCGCGTGGGGCAGCGGCTCCGCACGAGGCGGCAGGGGTTGCTGCTTCGGCAACGGGTCGGGCCAGCTTTCCCGAGGGGGCCCGTACGCCGAGCTGTTCCATGGAGGATTTCGTTGTGCGTGAAGGGCCACAGAAGTGTCACAGTTGCCTCAGCCACGGGAGCAGTGGAGCGGATTTCGCGGCGAGTCGGGTCGGCTTTCTAGGCCGACGCGCGGCCAAGTCTTGAACGATTGAGGCAATCCTCTTACAAAAATATGGAAACCCGTGTCAGTGCGTGATTTACACATGACGTACCCCCCTCTCATGGCTGGTGAATTGACCCCGCGGGGCTCGCAACTTTTCAATCTCGCGCGCTGGGGGTCATCGCGGGCGCCGACGAAGGGAACGTGCACCCCCTAACTCGGCAGCCTCAAAACGATTGCCTTTCACGTAGGAGTTATGCAAAGGGATTGTATACATCCGAGGCAATGTTGCTCCGCCCTTCCAGGTTGATTACACTACTGACGTGCCCACAACTGTCGCCGTCGTCGTCGTCGTCGTCGTCGCCGTCGCCGTCGTCGTCGTCGTCGTCGTCGTCGTCGTCGTCGTTCTCAGCGGCCCTGGGCTACACCCCCCTCGTCCTCATTGGGCACCCTCATGGGGCATCCGCAGCGCACTGTCAGTAGTCCGTCGTCGCCCTGTCGCCATCGTCGTTGTCGTCGTCGTCGTCGTCGTCGTCGTCGTCGTCGTCGTCGTCGTCGCCGTCTTCGACTGCAGCGGGCCTTCCCGCCTTCGCAGGTTCCCCCCCTTCCACAGGCACGAACCAATCTTCCCTATCGGAAAGCCGTGATCTTTCGAGTTTGAACGATTCACGGGTTGTCCGAGGCCACCGCCGACGTCATCGCGACGCGAGCCTGCCGTAGCAGATGATCTGTGCATGCGCTGAGATGTCGCGCTTTCAGAGCGGGCGTGCAAGTCCCACTCCTCTCCCGCCCATGTTTTCTGACATGCTGGCGCGCCCTCATTATCGGATGGGCTGGTTCGGCGACCTGTGAGTGCCTCGGGCGGGGGCTAAATGCGTGTGTGGGGTGTGGGGGTGGTGGACGCTGATGTGCAGGCAAACGTGTTTCGACATGTGTGGATGGCGGTGCTCCGTCCGTCGCTGCGCGGCTGAAGGGAGCCCCAGGCGAGCGCGAATACCGCCCGCCCGTTCTATCTCGGATCTTCAGGCAGCATCGATGACGGGATACCTGGTCCAGCGGCGTGCTGGGTCAGTTGTCTCGGGCCAGCGCGCGGCAAAAGGGCGGCGGATCCAGCTGTGAGCTGGGTCGGCTTCCTTGGCCAGCGCGCAGCGAAGTTTTGGACGACGTGCGGACGGTAAATGTACAAGTGGGGGGTGCATGCTTGTTAGCGGATGGTAAATGCGTAGGCCAGTGTAAATTCGAATTTCTTGCCCTCGGAGCGGGTTTGCAAAGTTCCGTTCATCTAGGGCTGGCGCGCCCTCGTTGTCGGAGTAGCCAGCGCGGCGTTTCGGAAGTTCTTCGGGTGGGATACTGAGAGGGTGGCGGAGGTCGATCAAGTATGGCCTGGTCTTGGCGCCGCGCACGTCCGCTTTACAATTGCCAAACCGTTTCGAACATGGATTGTCGTTGATTCTCAGCGAATTTCGCGCTGCTCACGTTCGTTTTGAAACGCTTCAGGCAGCTGCAGGGGGATGGAAAACGGGCGGGTTTGACAGGCTGTGGAATTCGCCTTAACTTTATCCACACACAATTGCAAACATGGAAGGCAGTTCATCTTCGAAATGGTATCCCGCTGTAGATGCGGGTTTGAATTCGAGCCCAGAGGTGTAAACCTGGGCAACAGCTTCACGGATATGTACTTATGTGCTAACATTTGAGTTTATTGGGGCGCTTCTTTTTCAGTTGTGAACCTACCCCCGCGGGATATCCTCTAGCAGGCTATACCTTATTCAGAACGGGTCTTTCGTTTGAGTGGCAGGGTCCTGGGGCTCCCGTCTTTCAAGTGTGCGCTTGTTTCGGGGGGGTCTCCATAGGGAATCGGAATAATTGTAGATACTCGTGCTGAACAGCAGCAGCAGCAGCAGCAGCAGCAGCAGCAGCAGCAGCAGCAGCAGCAGCAGCAGCAGCAGCAGCAGCAGCAGCAGCAGCATCAGCAGCAGCAGCAGCAGCAGCAGCAGCAGCATCGCTGACGCGCCCTGGCCTACAGCCTCTCCTCTCGGAGGGGGTCCGGCTGAGACAGTGGCGGCCCTCCCACCCGGTCCACATCCGACCAAAATCGGTCCCCAGACCCCTCCCAGGGTCCATGCGTTTTTGGAGGCGGATCCATCCGTGGCGACCATGAGCCTGCAGGAGGCTCAGAAAGGACGAGAAACGCCAGGGAGGGCCGCCGATGTTTCGACTGGCCCCCCCCTACGATCCTCGCCCTCGTCCGCTTCCTCTCCCCATGCGCCTCCTCCTCCTTTCTCCTGCTCATCCTCCTCCTCTTCCTCCGCCTGCTCCTACTCACCCTCCCTGTCCCAGGCGGCACCATCACCGCGTCCTTCACCATGCCCGGCGGGAGCGTCGCGAAGAAGGACGCGGCACCCCGCGCGAGCACCGTGAGGGGCAGCGCGCGTGCGCGTGTGCCGCCTGGCGGCACGCGGCAAGGGGTGTCGGGTTTCGAAGTCTATACAGATCCATTGCTCCCTGGCCAGGCCTCCTCCTCCTCCTCCTCCTCCTCCTCCTCCTCCATCCTGAACCCAGGAGCCGTGTATACACCCTCCTGGCCAAGCCAGAAGGGCGTGGCGTATACACCGCTGCTGGGTTGAGGATGGGCCTGGCCAGGGGACAGAGGACATGTGCAGATTTCGTCGCCCTAGGGTGGTTGGAGGAGTGCCAATCGAGGTCGCCGCGGGTGGATCCACCTCGAACATCTGGTCAGGATCCACCCCAGGAGGGGTCCAGGGACCGATTTTCAGTGGTTTCGGATCCAGTGGGAGCGCCGCCGTTGGGTCAACTGGCTTTGCCGGGGTGGGGGGAGGGAGGTGGTCTTCTGAAGAGGCGCGGAGGCACGGGGCTTCTCATGCAGAGGGCTCGGCGCCTTATTTTCCGGAAGGCTTCTCAGAGGGCCCCCCCCGTGCGCGCCGCTGAGTGTGCGCGCGCATGCCTCGCCCCCCCCCCCCTGGTGCGCGCCGCAAGGTGGCCGCGTGCGTCGCCGAGAGTGCGCGTGCAGACCCTCTCGGCCATGGCCGACCCTGGCCTTGTGACATTGCAGTTTGTTCGCGACGCCTTCGACCCCTTCCCCAGGGTCAAGTCGGGCACGTCCCTCCACAGGAGGAATATTCAAAATAATTAAGACATAGTCTGGGGACGATTTTTTGTATTCTTCTAAACTGTTTGGTCTTTTTGACTATTTTCCATTTTCGCCCAAAAGTCCGCCTGTAGGAGGAAATGCCCGACCTAACCCCAGGGCCGGCTTTGCATCCCGGGTTGTTTCCAGACGGCCCTGGGGCCAGGAAGCGGTCTCTCCAGAGGCCGAGGCTTGCGGCCGTCGCGATTTTTGGCTGGCGTCGCCGGGACCTGAGGTGTGGGGTCGCCCGTCGTACCACCCCTGGGCCAAAAGGGATCTTCCTCTTCGTTCTCCTCCTCCTCCTCCTCCTCCCTCCTCCTCCTCCTCCTCCTCCCTCCTCCGTCCTCCTCCTCCTCCTCCTCGTCCTCCTCCTCCTCCTCCTCCTCGTCCTGCCCTACCACCACCCCCGCGCCGCGCCCAGCCTCCTGCCCCCCCCTGGCGGCCCGCCGTGGAGGAGCTGCCCGCCTCCCACAAGGACCTGCGGCCCGTCGGCACGAGCGGGCTGCGGGGGCCCCAGCGTCGGCCGCGTGCGCGCGCGGTGCCTCTCCTCTTCCAGTCGTTTGGTCCGTCCATTCCTCCTCCTCCTCCTCGTCCCACCGCCTCCTCATCCTTCCCCCTCCTCCTGCTCGTCCTCCTCCTCAACCTCCTCCTCCT